CAGACTGTTAGCGTTAGTGAGAGCTTTGGGGGCGGAGTCCGAGTCCGCAATTACAGCCAATTAGCGCTCATTAGCCGCAGACACGCCCCCAACGGACGGAAGGGCGGTGGCGGCGGAGTCACGCTCTACGAGACGACAAATCTTTTGAAAACTCGTTTCAAAAAACACTTGTTTTCCATTCAAAACACAACTCATTATTGAAACGCTAAACACCTGTACTTTAGACACAGGTGTCGCGCAGTCGCCCTCCCGTTCCCAGAGCCTACCTGTGCGGGCGGTGAGGCCTCCCGGCGGTGGCGTCGGCGCACTTCGCGTCGCAGGAGCGCCACTTCGGCCACCAGTCGCCTCCGCTCTGCCGAAGCCGCGTCCGTCGCGTCGGCGCCTACACAGAGAGGACAGGGAGTGAGAGGAGTGAGCGGACAGACACCGAGTCCTTACCGATGAGCGACTGATTGACGGACTGCTTGAGAGTCGAGATGTGACCAGAAATGGCCGAAAACGAGTCGTTGAGGCCTTTGCTCCACATTTGGCCGCCGATTATGCGCTCAATCACGGCTTCAAACGGATGTCATATTTCACTACAATTTCTCTCATTTATGACACAATAGTCAATACCTCTTCACTTCACTCCAACACACGTGACATGACTTGCAGTCGAACTCCACTTCTGACGAGTCATGCATTGAGTGAATGAGTCGTCACTTAAGCGACAGAAACGCGAAGTCATTGCAAACGCTTTGATCGCTGTCTCCATAGAGAAGCCGTTTATTGCACTCCAAGTCCACAATCAGTCAAAACATATCGCATTACGATTGCCATCAATACCGGGATTGCACTGCAATTGCCTCTCACGGCATGAGTGCTGCCATCTCTGGCCACCGCTCGCACCCTCTCATCCGAGTTAACTGTTTTTGGTTGCCATTCGCGACGCCAGATGTCGGCACCGGAACTGTAGGGGCGTAAGGCTTGCGACAGGTATTAGTAATACCGTATTACACATTCAATCAGTAATGTAAATGAGATAACAATGCAATAAATGTTACATAACTTGTAATATAAGTCATATTATGTCATAAAAAGTGTTTATTTTGAGGCCTTTTGTGGAGAAATCACTGTTTTCTCTCAAATTGCGTCTAAAGTGAAAGTTTTGGCCACTTTTGCGATGGGACTCAAAGTGCGGACCTTTGCGCTCGTGTTGGACAGACCGGCGGCCGTCTATCGCGCGTCCGAAGTGGTGAGCGGTCAGTGTGTGGTCGCGTTGGACGGAGACATGCATTTGAGTCAACTGACCATCACTTTGAAGGGAGAGGCGGAGTGCGAGTGGACGGAGCAGAAGACTGTCCACCAGAGCCACGGATCGCACCCAAGCGGACCAAACCACGGATCAGATCTTCACCACAACCATCACCATCACGACCACAACCAGACGCGCACCGAAACGGTTCGCCATCACGCGAAGCACACGTGCGTCGACCTCGTCTACTGTCCCGGAAACGGTATTCCTTGCCTTCAGCCGAACAAAG